TGTGTTTGTTATAACGCGCGTTAGAGTCGCCTTCGTCCGCGCGTATCATTCCTCCTCCTCATCTTTTGCTCTCTCTCGATGTATCGCAATAATATTGCCTCAACTCCGTTTTTTACACTACACGTGCATTTCGGCAATGCATCAATCGCGATAACGCGTAATCGACGAGAGAAAGAGAGAAAAAAAAGGGCAACGAGTGTAAAAATTCTTGGACGATTTTCCCCGTAACGCGCAGCGCGTAGTGCGCGGCGCGAGTAAAAAGAAAAAAGAGAAAGGGGGGGAGAAAAAAAGGCTGCACGCGTAAATTGCACGCGGTGTGTGCGCGCACATACACGTACTGTGTATTATGTATATACGTAATGCAGCTGTGCGTGCGCTGCGCTGTGCGTGAAAGCGGACGTGTGTGTGCAGTGCGAGGGAGGATGCACAGCCGCGTACGGCACGCACATGGTTCTCTGCTGCTGCTGCTGCCGTTGATGATGGTACGATGCCTCGAGTTGCAGTTGTGTGACGCTCTGTACGTAGCAGCAATAGGAAGGGGGGGCATAGAGAAGATGTATGCACGCACACTAGCGCGCACTAGGCGATGCAGCGCACCAATACCAAAAGTGCAGCTCGCAGCACCAGAGGGTTGACGTGTGTATACCGTAATTTACCTATACTCGTGACACACACGCACACACACAGGCATAATAACGCCTGCAGCTTTCCTGCTCGTGCGCTCACGTCCTATACGCACGACGCGTACTTCATACCAAATGTGTGTAGTGCTGCGCCCCCCGCGCGCCTCTCCTTCCGTTGCTCTCGTGTACGCGCAACTTTAAAGCACGAATTCTACATAATATATCCTTTTTTTATTTTCGCCGTGTGTGGAATTTCGTCGATCGACGCGCGATAAATTTGACTATGTTAATTCGCAAAATAGCCAGAATAGAGACGTTTCGGGGGATCGAGAGAGAGAAAAATGATTTTGGAGAAATATGACTTTGCACAGCTACTTGTCGTCGATGTATATTCCGCAGACCGCAACCGATCTATAAAGCTTCGATTTTTTGGCCCCGTCTGATTTTTCACCGACACTTTATATACATGTAGCCGAAAGTGTGTGTGTGTGTGCATACCTATATATACTGTCTCGTGAGTCCGTGTCCGATGCACAAAAGCCCGAATACCTACATATATATAATATGGTATATAAGAAAGAGAGAAGGCGAGAGACAAGCCTCGGAGCTATATACAGAGCCTCCAGTGCTATAACACAGAGCGGATTCTGCGCTATATAAGTTCCCTCTGGTCTGCTGCTGCTGTTGCTGCCTTTACGAAAGAAGTAAAAAATCAAGACAGGCAGGCAGTATAAACGTAGCAGCAGCAGCAGCGGCGCTTGAAATTCAGGTTTTTCATATATGAGCTGAGACGCGCTGCGGTTTGATACGAGTGTAGTTGTGCAGTTGTGTATGTGTGTGCTGCTGCTGCTGCGGTAGTAGACAGTCTTGGGGCCTTGCCTATATACTGTATAACCCGATGTTGATAGTGGTACTGCATAAAAGACAGCCGAGCGAGAGAGAGAAAGAGAGAGAAAAGTGGGGGAGGACGTTTACGAGAGCGAGCGAGAGCAAAGGAAGGAATGAAAAAGAGGGAGAAATTCTCACTGCAAGCCCTTCGATTCTACTGCTGATGTTGCTGCTGCTGCTGCTGCTGCTGCTGCAGACGAGAACGAGAACGAGAGAGAGAGAGAGCAAAAGAAAAATTCAAGTAATTTCGCTTCTGTAGCGAAATTTAAGCCGCGCGTTATAGAGAACCAAACGCGCTTCTTTCGTCTCGTTTTTTGCTTTTCTTTTTCCTTTTCTTTTTTTTTTTATTTTATTTTATTTTATCTCTTTACCAACTCGAACTTTGGACGAAAGAATGTGCTGCTGCTGCTGCTGCTGCTACTCGCGAAACGAGGCAGCATATATATAAGAAGAAAGAGGAGATCGCATGTATACAAGCATAGTAATACACGTGTATCGACGAGCTCCACAGCACAACAGTCGTAGAAAGGAAGATGAAGAGCGAGAGGGGGGGCCGAGACAAAAAGAGGAGGTGGTGGAGGAGGAGGAGGATGGCAAAAAAAAAAAAATTGCCAACGAGCATTAAGAGCCCGAGCGGCGCGCGAGATATCGCCTGCTTATTGTAATGTGCAGCCGTGCCATGATCCGCAGGATGAAAATTACACCGTGTGCTACATGTATACACACCAGCACCTATGGCACGTTATAATACTCACACACACTCGACTCGTAAGAGAGCTAAAACGAGAGAGACAGAGACAGAAACACCGGGACTACTCGGGCGCGAGCGAGTATATATATACAGTAACAGAGCGAGGCGCTTGTTAGATACGATTAAGGAAATGAATAAATTGCGTTTAAAGAGACACAAACTAGATCTTTCAATTATCATAATATAGAGCTCTCGGGCCGGTATGCTGTACGAGTTCGTGTGTGTGTGCGAGTATATAAGCACTGCGCCATCGAGCTTATAGATCCGCGCAAAAAGCTCCGATCGTCGTGCTTGCAAGCTCGTGACGGTGGCACTGCGTTTACAACGAGAGAGAAATTGCAGTGCACGATTACGAGAGCCGTGCTGTCCCCCGGACAGCGCGTAATCGCTCCGTAATTATGTGTGCGAGCGACGCCGACGACACCGACGCGTCCGCGTGCAACACGGAATGCGATTCGCGACAGATTTTTATTCAACGCGTATCCTATATAGGATTTGTAAGCTCGCGCGTTGCGTGGTATACGGCTCGTTCACCTTTAACTCGTATACGATATATATAGCGGCTGTATATAAAGCAGCTTGCGATGTACGTATGCGAGTGGTTTATTTATTTTTTCGTCGACTGCGACTGCGACGAGGAGGAGGAGGAGGAGGACGAGAAAAGAGGGAAAAAAAGAAAATCCTGAAAAGAGGTGCTACATGTGTGTGCACGCGTGGCCTTGACTGATAAACGCCGACTACTACCGACGCGCGGCACAACGAGCAGTAGAGTACTCCCTGCACACGTATATGAACTCGCGCTCGCTCGCTCGCTCGTCGCGAAAATAATAAAAAAGAAATGGCAAAAAAGCAGCAGAGGAGGAGGAGGAGGAGGAGGCGGAGGAGAAGTATATATCCAGCAGCGACGCGCGCGACTACGATCGGAGGGAGCTGAAAGAGTAGCAGCAGTGGTTGTATATAAATGTGTATACACATGCAAACGCAGAGCTTGACGCGCGCAGCAGCTGAAACGAAAGGGAGAGAGACTGCATCTGCCAGAAAGGAGGAATTTTCGCTGTACACCTATATACATATATCTCGGTAGTACGTAGTCACGGGAGTTATTGAAAAATCGTCGCGTATACAGAAGCAGCAGCAGCAGCAGCAGCACGCGGTCCCTCTTAACGCAGTTACGCCGCATGCAACTCGTATAAAACAATTTTTTTCTTTTTTGTTTTGTCGAACCTACTCGAGAGCTTTTTATTCGCTTGAAAAATTATTTTTACTCCGACGCGATCGGTGCTGCGCGTATTGGAATACGCACTGCACACGAGTTGGAGCGCGTGATTCATGCTCGCCCTCTCTCGCGTATATATATGATAAATGGGCCTTATTCTCTCTCTTGCTGCGTATATAGCACGTATAGTATAAGTACCCCTAACCAGTGGCCAAGTCGCGCGCGCATATATCTCGATAAATTTTACGCGCGCGTGTCAAAATACGCCAAGATTAAATAATTACGCGCGCGTACATACGTACGTACGCATTGGAATTTAATCCTCGTGCGCGCGCGCGGACACGTGTGTAATGCGTATTATACAGCTGCCTGTATATATGTACGACATAACGTAGTGCGTGTGCTGCAGAGCTTCGGAGCCAAAGATCTGTGAGTACTATAAAAGACGCAGCAGCAGCAGCAGCAGTAGTAGTAGTTGCGTATATATCGATCCAAGTGCTGCACGCACTCGAGCTTAGCCCCGCGCTCTATAGCGTATCGCCTATTTCGTATTCGCAATAAAACGTCGAAATGTATGTATAGACGCGAGAGATAGAGTTAAAGGTCGACGACGACGACGACGACGCTACGACGAGGGGGGAGCTTTAGAATGTTAAAAAAAAAAAAAAAAAGAAACTACCGCCACTACGGCGCAAGTGTAGTAGTGCGAGTTATATATAGTGGCGCACATACACACGGGCGCGCGCACAATACGTGTCAGTGAGGGCGCGCCTCCCTCTTCGTGATGTACGCACTGTACGCTATGCTTCCCCTTTGCGCTGCTGCTGCTGCTACGATCCGTGTGGGCTCTCTCTCTCTCGCACCCTTTACTCGACTCGACTCGCTATGTAGCGTTGTATATAGCATCGCAGACGAGAGAGAGAGAGAAACCTTCGACCCTCGTCTCTCAAGGCGGAAGAAACAGTCCAAACCTGTAGTATATATGCTGGCCTGAACCCCTCCTATGCGTATATATATATATGTCTGTGTGTCGGTGTATGCGTCGCTCAGAAAGGGGCGCCAGTCTTCTCTCTCGTATATATATCTATATACCTACGCAGTGCCAGCAGCATCGAGGGTGAGAAAAGCAACGACGGCGACGACGTCGGTGGCGCAGGCAGGCAGTCGCTGTAGTAGGCAGCAGCAACGAAAGACGACGACGACGCTTGAAAGAAACGCCGGCGCATAGATAAAAAGGACCTTATTATACACCGTAGCTAGCGACGAGAGGCGAAAAAGGAATGAGCTTTAATTTATATATAGACAGGAGTTGAGGCTGCTGCTGCTGCTTCTCCTTCTCGTTGACTCTTTCTTCTTGCTTTTTTTATTTTTCAAGAGAAAAAAGTGAGAAAAAAAATTCGCTGATTTTTAGACGAAGAATTTTTTTTTTCGTTAATTAAATATCGTCGCAGGACTGGCTGAAAAGGAGGGGGGATGACGTTGCGAGTATATAACATATATACAAGGTTCAAGTTTTGATAAATAAGTTCGAGATAGCGATATTTATTTCATTTTTGTTTGTTTTTTTATCATCCGCGAGCCCGTCTCGGGCCGCGCGTCACTTTTTATTTCGTGTATAATTTACAAACTTACGATCCTAAGCCTTAGCGATATAAACAATTTCTTCTTTTTTACTCCTTCATCATCATCTTTTTCGCTCTTCTTCAATGCGCACATATCAATGCGAGAGTATACGAAAAAAAAAAATAATAAAAAATAAATAAATAACAACAACAATAAATCAACGAGCTTGAATAATAGTCGCATACTCACATTCATACTTGCATTATACACATTCGTTTTATGCTCGCTCACACTCACACACACGCACATATGGCTGCAGCATATATGGTTCACATCGTTACGCATTCGCGTCGTTAGTGCACCCGTGAGCAGCGAGTAGTAGCACACACGGCGTGTAACGACGGCGACGATGATCATTGATTATTGATCCCGAGGCCGGTGCCAAGAGAGATGGCCGAGCCTCGCGATATTACATTATATATATATATATACCCTCCTCTCTGTCTTTCTCTCGATTATCACGCAGACGTTTTCGCCTCATATTCGCTTATTACAACTTTTTTTTTCTGTTATTATTATTATATAAAATCGACGTTACGCATTACACACGTGTACGTTCGTCGCGTAGTAAACACACACACACACACACACACACACACACATTCAAGTCCTCGCGCGACGACGGAGGAAGAGCCGTATAAAACAAATGCATTATTACATATAATATTACGAATTGGAATGATCGGGGGGCCGGGGTGTATCTTGCGCGAGATATACAGCCCCGGATCGCTGATCTGTTTATTAGTTTATTTATCATCTTTATGTACACAAAGCGACGACAACGTCGATATATAGGAGTCAATAACAACTCCGCGATGCGAGGCGTATCATCGCACGCACGCACACACGAACACACACACACATACACACATCGCCGCTTTCGAAGAACAATAGTTTCGCCTCGCTTTATTTTTTTTTCTCCATGAATAGATGAAATAAAAAACGAACGTACGAAAAAATGAAATGAAATAAAAAAAATAAATAAAAAACAATGCCCTCGCGCGCGCGCGCGCGCTCCTTCGTATATAGTGCGGTGTGCGTAAACAAAACGAAAAATATGCACGTTTTACGGCTGCACCCACACACACACACACACACACAGGTGCGTCTTTACACGCATAGACGCAGGTATACATACGCGTATATAGCACACATACACTCGTGCGGCTTTTTCATTGTCACCGATAAAGGGTTTTTGATACGTATACGTATAGCGCCATAGGCCACGAAAGCACACGAATTCAATTCGTCTCTCTCTCTCTCTCAAAAACATTTTTGTTTTTGTTTTTGTTTTTTTTTTGCTTTAATGGATGCACATCTAATACGCACATCAAGCGTATGGAAATAAAAACGCTTTAGACCTTCTCTCTCTCTGTCTCTCTATTTTTCGCTCTGACGTTTGGCGCGCGGAGTGTTAACAACGCGCAATGATAAAGTTAATTATAAGAGTTCGCCGATTCGAAATAACAGACGAGGACGACTCTGGGCGCTGTTTGCGTAGGCGCAGGTATACATCAACTTTGCGTATTTATATTATTTATATTACGTTTCGCGAGCAATGGCGACTCTTATGAATGTACGTACATCGCGTATATAGCTACTTATCCCCGTTACACCACGGGGCTGCGTTGTTTACACTCGTACATATATATACGCGCAGACGAGCTTCAAGCTGCATATTTATATACGTTTACTATTATTATATAAGCTTGATAAAATCGACGCACGTCCGCGCGCGTATACCGCCGCGCAGTTTTGGGGCGAAAATTCGCCAGCCAGCGAGCCGAGCACGCCTCGTCCGATTCCCATGCGCGCAGAGGAAGCTTTTTTGACTCGAGCGCTGTCAAATCCATAAAGTAGCGAGTGAGGTCGAACGAAAAAAAAACAAAAGAAGAAAAAAAGAAGCGGCCAAGTGCCTATATATTGAATAATCGATCTCTGTCTCTCTGCTCTTGTAAATTTATTCGTGTTTCGATCGAGCTTCGCACATTCGAGCGAGAGACGAGGAATCGATCCGAGATCATCGATGCATCGTGATTGATATAATTGAGGCGCGCTCGGCGCGTTCGTCGTGAACAAAAGAGAGTAGCGATACAATTAAAAAAAAAAAAAGAAAATAATAAAATTAAAGTCCACTCGCCGAAATCGATCTAGCGGAAGAAGGTAACGAACGAAACTCGCTATACTTGGCCAATTACAATCGCACAAAAATGTTCGTAGCGTAAACACGAGATGATTCGCGATTATCACTCTGCTCGCATGAATTCTTGTATGTAAATGTTGAAACTTTACAGATTAAAAATTGCCGAGCGAGTGAGTGAGTGAAGAAGAGAGAGAGATAGAGAGAGCGAGAGAGACTCGCGAGCGGAGAGAAGGGAGAGTTTGTATTTTTCCGCGTTCGCGACGAAACCGGTTTCTCCGCTATGCATGCATGCTCGCATATATATATACGTATGTATACATTCATGGTATATGTGCTATACGTATCAATCGAACGCATTCATTCGTCCGCATTGACAAATGTACTATTTTCTACGCATTTTCAAGCTATATTGCATCGATTCTCTTACGCTTAATATCGAGTCGCAAAACATCTTTTTTCCTTAACATCATACAAAATACATGAGAGATGTATGTACAACAATTAAATATACATGTATAAGTGTGTGTGTGTGTATTATATATCTGACTAACCCCGTTAAAAGGTCGATTGGTGTAATGACAAAAGTTCGATTTTACGCGCTTTAGGATGCCGTTGGCTGCTGCTGATGCATCGACGACGACGACGACGACGACGAAGACGACATTGGTTTGTCGCCAGAGCGGACGAGGTCGCGCTATCGCGAGAGCTCCTGCCAGAGGCCGAGATTGAGCGACACCAGGGGCAGATTCCAGATGCGGCTGAGGCCCTGCTTGGTGATGCGCGTGCAGCCGTAGAGATCGATGCTGCGTATCTTGGGCATGTTCTCGACGATCGAGAAGACGCTCTGGTCGGTGAGCCGACTGCACTGGCCGATGTGCAGCGTCTCGAGCTCCTGCTGATTCTTCGATATCTTGTGGATGCCCTCGTCGCTGATCGGGCATGCGGACAGACTGAGGCTGCGCAGATTGTACAGGCCCTGGCTGATGTTCTGCAGGGCCTGGTCGCCGACCTTGTCGCAGAACGAGACGTCGAGCGAGGATATCTTGGAGTTGCCCTCGGCCAGGTAGGCCATGCCGATCTCCGAGATGTTGTCGCAGGAGCGCAGATTGAGCTCGCGCAGGCTCTGTATCTTGGCCACGTGCTTCATGCCCGAGTCCGTGATGAGCACGCAGAAGGACAGATTGATGGACTTGAGGGTGTTGCCGAGGCCGTTGGCCAGGTGGCGCAGGCCCTCGTCGCTCAGCCGCTGGCAGTCCTGCAGGCCCAGGTGCTCGAGCTCCATGTTGCCCTCGGCCTCCTGCGACTGGCCCGCCACGTAGCCGATCCCGACGTCCGAGATGTGCCAGCAGCTCCTCAGGTCGAGGCGCTTGAGCTTCCTCAGGCCCCAGGCGATCACGTGCAGGCCCGAGTTGGTCACGTTGCCGCAGCCACCCAGCTCGAGCACCTCCAGATTCTTCATGTACTGGGCGATCTTGGCCAGGCTGGCGTCCGTGATGTTCTTGCAGAGGCTGAGATTGAGCTCGGTGAGCGAGGGAAAGGCGCCCGTCAGCGCACCGTTCAGGCCCGCGTCCGACATGTTGTAGCAGCCCGAGAGACTGAGCGACTGGAGCTTAGGCAGGCCGCGAAACACGTCGCCGAGGCCGCGGCGCATCGTCAGCGACAGTATCTGGACGCGCTTGATGCCGCGCTTCTCCATGCACTGGAACACCGGGGTCGAGTGCTTGCGCAGGTGCAGCCTGGCCTCGACGTTGCGCCAGACCGACCTGTGCTGGGCGGCGTCGCGCCACGCGTGACAGACCTGCGCGGCGCGGCCTCGGTCCTGCACGCTCAGCTTGCTGAAGATCAGCGCCAGGATCTCCGGGTAGAGGCAGGATATGTGGCTCGTCGTCGGCCACGACTCGAATTGCTGCTGCTGCTGCTGGCTCAGATCCGTCTGATGCTGCTGCTGCTGCTGCTGGCCCCCCGTCAGTATCGGATGGGGTATCTGATTCTGTATCGACTGATGCTGCTGCTGCTTGTGTCGTAGCTGCGGCGTGGCATGTTGATGCGGATGGTGTGGGTTCAGACTCGGCGGGGAGTGATGCTGCTGCTGCTGCTGTACCCTCTGTATGTGATGCTGCAGGTGACTCGGGGGCATGTAGACCAAGTTTTTACTGCTCAGTGGCTGTGGCAGTGGCACTTGGGCAGCCAACATCGGCTGCTGTTGTTGTTGCTGTTGCTGCTGTTGCTCCAGCTGTGGCGGCTGCTGTTGCGACTGTGACTGTTGCTGCGGCTGCTGCTGCTGCGGTGGCGACCGAGGCGACTCGGAGATCTTGGCCTGCTTGTGACGGGGCGGCCCCGAGGCCGAGTCGTCGTCGCAGTCCTCCTCGTGGTCAGCTCCACCTCCTCCTCCACCACCACCACCTCCTCCTCGATGATGCTTGAGGCCGAGATGCGGACGATGCAGCTGATAGCAGTGGCCCGGTCTGTGTATCAACGTTTGCTGTGTCGTCGTCGTCGTGTTGTTCGTCGAGCCGTGATGGCTCGGCTGCGTGATGGCGCGTACCGGCAGCTTCGTCATGAGCGTCTTGTTATTGGGCAGTCCTGGCTGAACTGCTGCCTGCGCTGCTGCGTTTAGTCCCAGTGCCGCCGCTGGCGATGCCTCGTCTTCGTATCGCTGCTGCTGCTGATTGTGGATTTCTCGATGGAGTTGTTGTTGCTGCTGCTGCTGATGATAATGATGACGATTGGAATGATGATGATGATGATGATGATGATGCTGATTCAGAGGCTGACCAGTATTTTCCATACTACGGCCACTTACTACAGCAGCTTGTCTCTCGCTCTCTCTCTCTCCAGTCTATCTCTCGGTTTTTCACTATATAGCTACACACTCGCTATTGTTATTTTCTTCTGCACACGTGGAATGTATCACTGCACACTGTTGCGTTACGTATATACGATAACGAAAACGGAGCACACCTTACGGACGCCGCGCACTACCTTTCAAACTGACGGACGCACATCTGTGTAACGTCGCTCGCACGAGTCCCGCGCGAGGACTCCTATGTGTATGCACATATACACGATAACCTCTGCGAATGTGCGCGCGTGTGTGTGTCTGTGTGTGAGTCGAGATACTTGTGCAGGCAGCGGGAGAGCCTGCACGAGCGCTCCGAAGCTATTTTTTATACGTATATGTATATAGTGAAAGGCGGCTGCACACACTATGAGAGCGCACTCGTGTGTATTTGTGTGTACGTGTGTGTGTCAGTGCGTCCGAGAACTGGTGTGTATGTGTGTATTGTAACGCGCTTTTTCACTCCGACACACGGACGCGCATCAAGGCTTCTCTCTTCCACTGGCTGTGGCGGCGGAGCACCTGTGTGTTTATTTACACACAAACACGCGCGCCTATACACGTACGTGAGATATTTCTCACGTAAATACGTGTGCTGCTGCTGCTGCTGTCTGTATTTATACGTGCGCGACACACTGCACGCGAACTACTGTTTTTTTTTCTTTTTTTTGCTCCAAAAACTTCTCGCCACTCGTAGAGCACAAACTTTATTTTTTTTACTTTTGTTATTTTGCGTTTCGCACCCACTCGCGCACACTCGTGCGAGATACTATTTCTTACAAAACAACGATCGTTTTGTTATTATCGAACGACCTATGTGCACAGTGTATGACGTCGTTGGTTGAATTCGCGCTACTATCCGCGACCTATCGGAAACGACTGACTCCTGTGCTGCTGTCGCCGCTGCTGGCTCGTCGTCGTCTTGTTTTCAAAATAATACGAGCGTGCGTCGTCGTCGCTATCGCAACTTTCCTTATCATTTGTACGATTTATAATATTCGTGTTTGTGAAAGAAAAAGTGCGAAGAAGTGAAATAACACACGACTCCAGCGACGATGTGTTATCTATTATAATATTTGCAGCACACGCGTGCACATAATGTACTGACTTCCCTTCTATCTCTCTCTCTCTCTCTCCGTCAACTCTGCTTGTCAAAAGTGCATGTATAATTTGTGCGTATACGCGTATGCGGGGCCACGCGAGGAAACGACACAAACACCACCACGGACACTGTCACAACTCTCGACTTTTTTTTTGTAATATAACGGCCGAGATTCTTCTTTTGGCGAAGGAAACGGAGAGTCTCTTTATATCACATATATACGCTGCCTACGAGGAGAGCAGTGCACACGAGTATATGTATGAGAGAGAGAGAAAAAGAGGGATCGAAGAAGAGAGCGGAGCGCTGGAACCTGGTCGGTTTCGGAGCGCGTCCAGCTGCAGACTGACTCGCGCTGAATTTTTCGCACCGACGGCAGCCGCAGCCGCGAATCGTGTGTGTCTGAGAGTAGTGCCGCGCGGCGGTGGCAGCAGCAGCAGCAGCAGCAGCAGCGCCAGTAGTATATAGTAGTAGTGTTGCAGTCTCTCTGTGTGTTGCTATATACGTACGGGGAAGCCGCCGCCGCCGCCGCTGCTGTCGATGACGACTTTGAAAAAATCAGACTAGAGGGCGTGTCTCGCTGCCGCAACGCCGCCACCGCTGAAATGTGCACATGCAGCCGCGCGTAGTATCGAGCGCCTATGCTGCTGGCCGATTCGGTACGTCCTAACGCGGTTAGATGGCACTAAAGGCTGGATCGAGCGGTACAGCGAGTTTGTGTGACCGAGCGATGATACACGTGTGGAATGGTGTGCATCGTAATACATCATCGGCTGCACTGTCGGTGACTATCTTTTGAATTTTCTGAAGAAGGGGATTATTATAAAAAAAAAATATATAAAAAAATATTGATGTGTGAAAAAAGGGGAAATAAGTTAAGTAAATTTTAGCAGCTTAGTATACATCAGAAACACTTGAATAGATCCATCAAACAAAAAAGGCCGCATTGTAGTATTTAGAGCTAATTTTCCTGCTCTATTACACTTTTTTAGCTCAAATTTCACATTTACAAAAAGTAGATGTGACGATTTTTCAAAAAGTGTAATCTGTGCTCGAAATACTTTTGAATACGGTAAACAGGGTAAGTATTACAGAGAATAATTTTATACTTTTGAATTTTCAGAGTACGCGAATCGATTAAAATATGTCACGCAAGATGACGCTAGCTCCCAACTTTCACAGTCCAGATAGCTGCATGTATTATGTACCACGTGTTCCTCGCGCGAAATTGTCAATTTGTGTATTACGATTACGACTTTAACGATTAATTTTTGTAAAAAAAAAAAAATTAATTCATTTTGATAAATAATAGTGGCCGTGTGTTGTCCGTGTGAGTGCACCAAAGGATTTCCAACGACCAATTCGCTATGAGTTTCGTTGACGAAAAACGAGTAGAAAGTGTGAAGAAGTTACGAGAAATAGTGAATTGGGACATCGAAAACGAGCGATTCGAATTTCTCCGTCGAGTTGACTATTTAATACGGTGTTGGGAGGGCGAAATTTCCGATCTCCGAGGCATTTTTCGGACGAAAGAAATTGACTGTCTCCTTTTTGATACGATAATATTGATGAATAAAGGTAGATTTTTCGATCGAGGAGAACGATTCATCGGGTATGTGGCTCGCAGCGGCTACAAGGACCAGCCGAAACTCGACGAAAACGGCGTGCCACTGCTGCGGCGCACCACACCGCTGCATTACGCATTCAGATGCCGTTTAACCACGTTGGACGAGCTTTTCCAAATATATAATAGATTCGATGTGAATTACATCGACGAGTCCGGATGGTCGCACTTTCACGTCGCCTGCAGTCTGGGCTATTGCAGTCTGAGATCCCAATTGCATCTTGCAACTGATGGGCGAGTCACCGCTTCAATTGGCCCTGGGCCGGGGCCACAACAGCTTGGTCGAATTGTTGCTGAGAAGAGGGGCCGATCCCAATTGGGCCAACATAGCAGGATCGACTGCTCTGCATATTATTTTCAAAAGAGACCGCCCAGATTATTACGTCTTAGCGAAGATGTTGTTCGAGCTCAGCGACAAAAAATATCAGCCTTTGCAAATCAATCTTCAAGACTATTTGGGTAACACGCCGTTGCACTTGACTCTGAGTTTGAGGCGGGGCCGTATGGAAATTGTCAAGTTACTGCTGCAATTCGGTGCGAATCCAAATTTAGCCAATGCAAAGGGATGGACACCTCTGAAAAAGCTGTTCAACAGAAAGTACGATGACAAATTGGCCGAGACGTTTTTTCAGATCTGCGCCGAGAAAAAGCAGCCGTTGGAGGTGGACGCAAAGGACAAATTGGGCCAAACCCCACTGCAATTGGCCGTGGCGAATATTTTACCGAGTGCCGTTGATTTACTCTTGGATCAAGGCGCTGATCTGACCGACTTTGTTTTCCCTCTGGCTAGTTATCTTGACGAGATACCAACCAACTATACCCACAGTTTTGATTTGAGATTGGCATCTGGCCTTTTGGTCATCACCGAGCGCCTCGAGAAGAGTGGATACGAGCTGGACCAAAGCGGCGCCTTATCGATCATGAAAGTGTTCGCCAAGCACAGATGGTTCGAGAAGCCGTCCGATGCCGAAAGAGCTTGGTGCGATCAGGAGAAGTTCAGCAGCAAAGCAAGTAAAATAATGGTGAATCCGAGTCTGTCGCTCTACGACCTGATCCAGTTACAACCCGAAGAGGCGTCGAAACTCGTCACGTACGCGGACTATTTCAGACTTTGGTCCTCGCGTGAATTAGGCAATCTCTTCGTCTCCAAAAGCCATAGAAAGCCCTGCACTTTGCACCTGATAGAGAAACTATCGAGAGGGTTTTTCCGTGAGTGGGCACTGGAATTTTTCTGCGAACTGGTACGATATCAACTGCCAATAGAGTGCTGTGAAATTATCATCGATGATTCATTCGTGAACGAAAATTTATGTAATATCTGCTTGGCGGCTGCAATCCAAAATGAAAAGGACAGGGGAAAAATGAAATAGCAGATGATGATATAATTTTTATTTGTGAGGAACCAGCGAGATCGGAAGCAAGTCGAAAATGGCGAAAACTATCAGTGCAGTAAAATGATTGTAATAACAAATGTAATAAATTGTATTTAAATAATACCCGTGAGAGCTCGGAAAATTGTACGCTGCAAGCTAAGGCTTTAGCTTGAAAAGTACGGGACAGAGCTCGTGATGGGCATGCAAGCATATTTTCAGTATTATTACATGTCCGCTGGTGTTGAATGCTGTGTATTTTCCATATTGTTCAAATAAATTTTATTAAAAAATGAGTATCGATTCTTGTTATTGACGAGCACAAAGAACTTGATATTTAATATTTGTATGCCAATAAATTGGCCCTCGACTGAACTCATCTTTCGTTCGCACCTACCTCGTGGCTTTTCTCTTTTGTTTTCATGCGATAGTAACGTTCCATTGCCTTCGAAGTTCAGAAGACGATCGGTGTCATCGAGAATAGTGTTTTTTCGCTCCGTCGTAATGCACACGCAGCCGCGAGCGCTGTATCGAGCGCCGATGCCACCGATTCGGTACGTCGTGGTTAGATGTCACCACGGGCTGGATCGCGCGGTGCGCGACTATAGGCGCAGCCGAGTAGCGACGACGATGCTTTATACGTCTCGCGGTGCGCTCGTAACGTTGAATCGATCGTCGGTAGACGAGACAAGATTGAACGCTACAATATTTTGTATGCGCTCAAGATGGAAATAACTTCGATATTCGATTTTCATACTAAAATCGTTGACATGTTTGTTACATTCTTATAAACAACTTTAGCGATGTCTAGCCGGAAAAAGTCAATGTACGTTAGAAACCAAACGAAAAAGGCCGCAATATCGTAGTACCTGTGATCTATTATTTACCACGTGAGTAATGCGTAAAACCCGTTGGAATATACGTACGGTTCGCGAAAGACGGCGCTGACTTCGGAACAGTAAGCCCAATCGCGAAAGAAAACAATGCGGCTCTATTGTACACTGTAGTATATATCTATATAACGATTATAAATATAGATATATACATGTGGTACTTTTCGCGATCATCGGGCTTTCTGCTCTCGACACGCATGTCCGGATTTTCTACCACGTGTTCGCGCGCGTGAGAATTGTCAGTTAACGTTACTACTCCAGCGCGCGATCAACGGCTGTAGGCAAATTTCATCGATTGCGGCAAGCGATTTTCGTGAAAGAAAAAAGAAAATCTCGAATTATAAGTGTGTGCGAGTGCGCCAAAGGACTTTAAAAGATCGATTCAATACGAAGATCGTTGACAGAATGGTTTTAGGAAAACACATAATTCCCTATTTGAAGGACTATCGGGATGAAGGAATGAATTGGGAGATCGATCACGAGCGTATTGAATTCATCGGACGAATTAATGATTCACTGGATGTATGCGAGGACGAAATTCCGAATTTCCGACATATCTTGAGCTCCGAACAAATCGACCGTCTCGTCACGGATTCGATAAATATGATAGAGCAGATAACGGGGGGAGGGATCGATCGAGGAAAACGATTCATCGGTTACGTGGCTCGCAGCGGCTACAAGGACCAGCCGAAACTCGACGAAGACGGCCCCGGCGTGCCACTGCTGCAGCGCACCACACCGCTGCATCACGCATTCAGATGCGGTTCGCGCTTGCTCGACGATACCAGGATAGCCGAGCTCTTCGCCATTTACAACAACAGATTCGACGCGAACATCGTCGACGAGTCCGGATTGTCGCACTTTCACGTCGCCTGCTATCTGTGCTATCGCGACGCGGTCGAGAGATTTCTCGATCACGGCCAGGATCCCAATTGCATCTGGCCGGAAACCGGTCAGTCGCCGCTGCACCTGGCTCTGCAGAAGAAGAAACAAAGGCCGACGCTCGATCTGCTGCTGAGGAGAGGCGCCGATCCGAATTACGCCTTGGAAAACGGTGCGACGCCTCTGCACGTCGCGTGCCGGGGAAAGAGCTGCGATCCGGCGTCGCTGAAGCTGTTTTTCGAGGCCAGGGGCCAAGGATATCCGCCGGTGCGAATCAATGCCCAGGATCGTTTGGGCAATACGCCGCTGCACGACGCCCTGAACATGGAAGGCGCCCGCTTGGCGATCGTCAAGTTTCTTCTGCAGAAGGGCGCGAATCCAAATATGGCCAATGAAGAGGGATCGACGCCTCTGCACGTCGTGAGCGAGAAATGCCGAGATGTTGGCTTGCTGAAGGCGTTTTTCGAGTTGAGCCAGAAAAAGTATCGTCCGTTGAAAATCGACGCGCAGGACGAGGGGGGCCGGACACCGCTACACTTGGCCTTTAGAATGTCCTACGAGAAGATGGCCGTGTTTCTGCTCGAAAACGGAGCCGACCCGACTGTCATCGATTCGAAGCGATTCACACCTCTGCACGTAATTTGCAACCAAACGCAGGAATCCGGGTTGGCACAGATATTTTTCAAAACTATCGATGCCAATGGTCAGTCGGTGCAGGTCAATGCTCGGGACGATTTGGGTCGGACACCGCTGCAATTGGCCGTGGCGAAAATTTTACCGAATACCGTCGATCTACTCTTGAATCGTGGCGCTGTTTTGACCAACTTAGTTTTTCCTCCAGCCAGCTATTTCGACGATCAAAAATCCATTCACAACATAGATGATATAGTTTACCACAGTTATCGTCTCATAATAGCATCCGGCGTGTTGGCCATCGCCGAGCGCCTCGAGAAGAGTGGATACAAGCTGGACCAAAGCGGCGCCTTATCGATCATGAAAATGTTCGCCAAGTTCAGATGGTTCGAGAAGCCGTCCGATGCTAAAAAAGCTTGGTGCGATCAGGAGAAGTTCAGCGGCAAAGCAAGTACGATAAAGGTGAAACAGGACCAGCTGTCGCTCCTCGATCTGGTCCAGCTGCGACCCGAAGAGGAGGCAAAACTCATCACGTACGCGGACTACTTCGAGTTGTCTCAGGACAGAAAAATAGCTAAGCTCGCCCGAAATTACAAAGAGCGCTGTGCTTTGCATCTAATCGAAAAAATGTCGAGAGGATTTTTCCGAAATTATTCGCTGGATTTTTTTTTGCAGCTTATACACAAACGGCTCCCGATCGAGTTGTCTGAAAAGATCTTGGAAAAATTGAACAATGAAGATTTATATAAGATTTGTTTGGCAGCCGAAAATATAAAAGACAGTGAAAAAGGTGTAGTAATTCAAAATCCCAAAAAAGCCAAAATCGCAAGGACAGTAAAGAAATAGAATAACAAGTGTACGCTACAAGCTAAATTTAGCTTGACTTATAAGCATATTTAAAGTATTTTTGAATATCCAATGATATTCAATGTTGTATAATATCCATATTATTTAAATAAAGAATTTTAAAGAATGGGTATCGACTTTTTTGTTGATAAACGCAACGAACTAAATATTCAATATTTATAGGTACCTATTGTGAGGAAGAAGGGGATCAAGTGAAAGATAATAAAATAATAATTAAGAGAAAAAAAGGTTTTGGACTTGTTTCGCGAGCCCACTCGAAGTATCCGCTAATCCTTGTCGATAAATTGATTGTTTAAAAATCAACGCGCAGGTTTGAAAGTCTACGAGAATTGTAGCGAAAAGCCTCGTGGGTTGATGGAAAATCTACATAGATATTTTGTCAATACACGAGACTTACCTAAGTAGACAATTTATTTGATCCACGTGGTATCGCAATGCCCGATCCTCGAGGAATCTACATATGATCCACGTGGAATCTGTGTGATAATCAACGCGGATATCCATGAAAATTTTTTTCAACTGAGTTAGCTCACCTAAGGTTTTCCTTTCACGACATTTTTTATATGACATCTGAGGTACGTGTACCCCATATGATTTTTTCACGTTTTCAATATTTTGTCACTTATACGATTTTGACGCCTTTGAACTGTTGGTTAACAGAAGAGTTAAACAGGTATTTTGACGTAGTTTTGTGGATGCCTCGCGGAAAGTTATTAATTATTATTATTATTATTATTATTATTATTATTGATAATCGTTTCAATAATAATTTATTTTGGTTCAGATTTACATATCTTTATGAACAAATTATAATAGCGAAGTTGCCGGTATCTATTTCCTATTCCAAGTATCTCAAACTCCGCTTGACGTTACTAATTTGAAACACCTTTTTGTATACAAGAGGTTGATAGTAAATAAATCTGGAAGCGTTTATTTAATAAAATATTTAATTTTTCATTCGATTTCATTGAATGCCAATAAAATTTTTGTTCTGTAGTACATTAACGATCGTGAGTTAATTGGACAATGGAAACGGCTGAAATATTTCATATAAAATCACTCGACATTGATATAAAAATAATATTTTTATCTTCGATCATAGTAATGAAATTTTCGACCATGACTATTATTCCAAACAAAGTCACAAAACAGTTAATGCTTGAATAATAGATATATACTCAAATATAAATTTATAATGATTAAGCACTATTTTCTTCTTTTCTAAAATGTAATCGTATTATTATCTCTTGGCTATGATTAAGAATACTCATAAAAATAAAATATGCTTCAGGATCGCTCGACATATCTGTACAAATAGATCATCGAGCAACCAACGATCACTCATTGTTTTCTTCGCGGAATGATTCTTTCGCATTTTTTTTTCACTATACAATTTGTGATTTCGCGGAAAAAATTCGTCGAAATCTCTCGAGTATATACACAATCCCAAAATTATTACAATTCAGGCATTACACATCACAATATACACTTGCCAGTTCGAAAATTGACTTTACACGCATACGCACTCGAACAGCTAGGGGCAGCCCGTTATATAATACATTTCGCTTTACACCGAATACTTTTTCGTTTAATTACTGTACATTTACGTATATAAACGTCTTATCACCATTGTATTTTTTTTCACGACCTCGGTTAATCGCCCGGAAAGAAAAAAAAGCCACATTACCGTGTGGCTTCTCTCAAATTCGGTCTCTCTACTCGCGCTCGACGATAAAAGCTCCGTTCTCGTACGATCTCGCGCGAAGTGCAAACACGAAGCCTAAAAACGATATAGGGGCACTTTTTTCAAAAGTACGAAAAATATAATAATAAATTATAATAATGCTAATGATAAAAGAGTGGAACGACGCAGAGTCGCAGATATACACACGATAGCCTATTTACAGGCGCGCGAGGCGGTAGCGGCGATCTTCCGATCGATATTTACAAGTTGCAGCGCGCGCGCCTCCGAGCTCCTTACACGATAATTGCGTATAAAATTTACAAGATAATAATCCTAGCAAAAGCACATAATACAGTTGTTGATGCGTCGAGCGCGATATCAGAGCGTCGACGAAGATTCGCTCGTTTTGTAATAATGCGGCGAAAACAGCTCGACGCGGTCATTACGAGCGAGCGTATCCGTCTTTGTACACATAAGTATCCTCGCGTTCACGCGAGCCTATTCACGAGGCACACATCCTCATCATCTCGAAACGAGCCGGCGGCAATTTTTCCTCCCCCGCTTCATTCAGGCGGTCCAAGTGGACGCGACGTCGCCCATTTCGCGGCTCTCGGCCGTGGTCTCGACGCTGCTGTCGCTCAGCAGCTTCTTCACGCTCTGGTGGCGCTTGGGGCCGCTGCCCGCCTGCGAGCCGTAGCCGTTCGAGCCGCTCGTCAGCATGGCCCGATGATGATGATGATGATGGTTCCTCGTGCCGTTCTCCAGCAGGATGGCCGAGTGCAGCTGCTGCTGGGCCGACTCGTCGCCGTGACCATCACCAGCAGCGCCACCGGCCCCGGAGCTGGATCGAAACGAGCGACAGCATATCCTGACGACGAAGACGGCGAAGCCGAGGCCGAGGCAGGCGCCGGCGAGCACGTCCCACCAGTGATGCCGATTGTCGGTGATGCGCGACATCGAGCAGCCGAGGCCCCAGAGCAGCGCCAGGCACTGGAGCCATGGCTTCACCAGGATCAGCACGAGGCGCTCGGGTATCCGAGCCTGCAGGTACCACTGCGAAACGGAGACAAATTATTAGATATAACTCGAGAGGCGCTGCGGGTGAAATTTTAGGATGCTGGTGCTTTGTGTGTGTGTGTGTTTTTTTTATTGCTTTAGGGATGCGGGTGGGATAATGTGCGGTCGAAGCGAGCGGACGACAGGAGAAATTGAGAGAGTTCTCAAAACCACACGAAACATATTTCGCTCAGGCTTTACCTGCGTGGTTCCGACAATTTCTCCGCTTTTGTTTATCCTCTCTCTCTCTCTCTCTCTCTCTCTCTTTCTCTCACGCACAATGTGCCGTCAGCTTCGGATTCACAATGTGAAAATTCAAAACTTACGATCAAAAAAGTCGCCTGGAATATGGCCAGCGCCGAGTGGCCCGAGGGAAATGACTTGTCCGAATCGTTGACGTAGAACCAGGATAATTCCGTGTTGGTGCACGTGTACAATCTCCTGTACCTGTGAAACACACATAGGCCATGCATTATAATTTACTATTATACGCCTCGCTGCATATACCACACAGCAGGATAATGTCCTATTCGCGCAGTAACAGCAGCTGCAGCTCGATCTCGTTACATAGTTATGGAAATTGCACACACGCACATAGGCACGTGTGTGTGTGTTTATACGAGCTGCTGCTGCTGCTGCTGCTGTTACTGCGCGGCAATTTCGACGTGAAATTAATGTTATTAGCCGCGGGTCTATAGCTCGTTGCGCTCGCGCGCCGAGACACCACGAGACTCGAGAGAGATCGGTATAAAATCGCGATTAAAACGCCCTGGAAACGGCGAAATTCCTGCAGTCGCGGGCAGGCACGCGTGTGTGGCCCCGCGCGCACAAAAAATATCATTGAATTCGTAAAAGCCGGCGTAATTGCGGATAATAACGGCATTAGATATCCCATAAAAGATAAACAAAAGAAAAAGGAAATCGTACTCGAGTAAAGTCGCCCATTATACAGAAAAACTACCGCTCGGCTATGAATCACGATTTAATCGATGAGCATATATTGCATACTCACTCGTTGGTGCAGTTATCGATGCCTTGAGGCCGGCAACTGTCGATGAAGTGCGGCCTCGGCTCGCCCACCACGACCTTGACGATCTCCACGACGAAGAGCAGATACCACCAGCCGAGGGTGTAGTAGCCGTACCACTGCCAGAACTGACGGCCGCGCGACGACGGCGACTGCTGCGAGTTGCTGCTCGACGACGAGGTCGACAGAGAGCAGTCGAGGCTCTTGTAGCTCTCCGGCGAGTAGCAGCTCCACTCGGTCGCGTAGATCTGCGATCACGAATCATTATTAGTTTTCAACCGAAGGGAAATCGAGAGAGGGGAATAAAGAACTTACCACGACGGCCGGCACGACGATGGTGACGAGGATGAGGGCGACCGTCGACACCGAGTCGCCGGTAAAGGCGAACTGTATCTTGGGATCGTTGCACCAGAAGCCCACCTGCTGATTGGGTATGTAGCCGAGCTCGCCCAGCAGCATGAGTATCGATACTGCAATACAAAAAAATAAAAAAAATAAATTCCACGATATAACGTCGTTACTTTTGGTTAATTGCATTGTCGAGCATTGAGCAACTCTATCTGGTTTGCTTGGGCTTTTTAACGAGGATTAAACGAGGCTTTTACCTTATCGCCGCGGTGATTAATAACGACATTATAAAGCCGTACGTATACATATAGGCGGGCGATTTATTAAGCCGCTTTATATATTTATCGGAGCCTACATTATAACGTTTATATATGCTGCTGCAGCGCACGCGGACGCGAGAGAAAAAGTAAAAATCGAGGGACGCCGCGCGAACGAAATCGAAAGAGGCGCAATTACGAATCGCGCTAATAATAATAAAAGTCAAAGCTGCGAAAGTGCACCGCGCGGAGTTGCAATTGCACCGATCCGCCGCGTATTTATGTACGTATGTAGGGGGAGTGGAATCGCGACCGAGTGCCACAGAGCGCGTCTATTACATAAAAGTTCAAATTGATTAAAGCGTGTCGATGCGTGTATATATATATGCGGCATTACACACACACATACACACATGTATAAATATACGCGCGTATATTATTATCGCGATTACACCATAATGAGAACTAGTTTTCACCACTGCACCGCAGAGCAGCGCGGCACACGAGTGTACGCGTATACATGTTGCACTTTACCGCGCGTGCGGTAGCCACGGCCTTTTTTTTTTTTTTTTTACATAACATAAATATAAGGCGCGTTGCTCCTTTGCACGCGTCGTCGTCGTCGTATTATACCGAGAGTATTATAACGTGCAATTATTATTATTTAATCTTTTCTCGCGCTGCAGCCTCGCAGTCTCGCGTAGACGACGATCGAGATTCAGGCTCGATTTCAAATACACACACGCGTATACATATTTACGCGCGAAACTAGTTTACGTGCAGTCCCGCGGGAGAGTTTCGCAAAAGTACCAGCGTATTATACACTTGTACTTATTATGTATCTTAATTACGTGTAGGAGACATTAGCGGCACGTGCGTGTACGCACATTATACATTCACGAGGCGAGATAGGGAGAGAGAGAGAGTCGATTGATAGGCACACGCGTTATTTTGAATTTTTTTCTACGTACATTATAAAATACGAAATGTAAGCATACAACCGTGCTCATCGAGTCGCGATAAATTCGCAATAATACGAGCGACATGTAGAGTCGATACAACGTGTTTACAACGTCGTTTGTATGCGCGCCGATTTGCGCGTCTCCTTATTTCCTTCGCTCGCACGAAACTCGTATTATTAATATAATATAGTAATGTGTATTGAGATGCACCGCTGAGAGCGAGCGAGCGCGTGGCGCGAAAACGTGATTTTTCACTCATTTTTTTTCCGGTTTTGTTTTCGTTAAAAATGCATCAGGAGGAACTTGGAGAGAACGAAAATATACGTTTCGGTGCACGCAGGCGGCCTTGACATTTGCGCGGGTGGCCGCTTACACATACGATCGATCACGCGGAAAGAGAGCAATAACTCCGGTTATTTTTCTTGTACGAACTCGTATATACGAGAAGCATTAACGAGATAAGGACACCTGTTGTTTTTTTAGCAAATGACAAAAAGCGACGAGAAATAAAAGAATGACACATGCAATTACCTAAAATAGCGATGACAAAGTTGGCGGAGAACCTCCATGGGAATCGGCTCCTGCACACCGTCATGATCTCTTTGATCTCGTCGCGTCCTTTCTCATGGATCTTGCAGGGCACCGTCGTAGCAGTAGTTTGCTGCTGCTGCTGCTGCTGCTGCTCGTCCAGTTTCTTCACGTTATTATTGCCAGCGACAGAGGCTGATAATCGTCCCGCACCACCACCACCACCGCCGCCGCCGCCACCGGCTTCGTGCAGCACTGCAGCAGCCTCTTGCCTGATCCGTTGATGATGATGATGATGATGATGATCGTCGAGCTTTGTCGGCGTCTGCTTAAACCACAAACACATACGCACGCATGATACAATCGGTTACACTCGAAAGCTTCTTTTTTTTTAATTTTATTTCGTCTTTGTTGCGTCGTTGGTCGTCGAGGATATTTTATTTTTTGTCGTTGCGTGCAACGAAAAGACGAGTCGCGTATAACATGGACGAAGCGCAAAAATAAAAGTTGGAGTTTGCCAGTTTGACGCGTCGCGTTCGACTGGCAATGTTAGACTGGCGATATATATGTACGGCAATGCGACCGATCGAGCAGTATTGCCCGTGTTGTAAGTGTGTGTGTGTGTAGTAGTGGCGCAGAAGAGAGTGAGACACTGACAACAGGCCGTGAGTCGGTCGGTCGGTCGGGCGCGTGGATTAACAACAACTAGGTCGAAACGCGCGCCGGACTAATTCAGGACGCGGACTGGCTCTGGTCGGGATTTGCTCTGGCGCATGCAAATGTATATATTATAAGGCAGGGTTTATACGTAAGACGAGCGTGCGCGCGAGAGCAGAGGGATTTCGCGCGTCGATAATCGATGATCGATATTATTATTTTATTACCGCTTAATACATCATAACCCGATGAATAAGCGCGGAGAAACTCCTTCGAACTCTTTTTTTTTTTTGTTGTAATGTGTAAAGTCAACGGCCCCGCGAACACGTCGAATATTACGAGGAATGAAATATAATAGCTATATTTCCACTCGAGGTATTATAAACACTATATGTAGCGCGATGCGATCGTTATACCGATACTTTGGCGCTTATGTACAACACGTATATATGCTTCGCGTATATCTGTACGCTAGCACAAAGCTTTTGATGCTTCCACGAAAGGCCCGCGTGCTTAGCATAAACGTATTAATATACAGGCGCCGAGGCGAATTATAATTACGGTATACACACTCGACGACGCGATCTATATTAAGTGACACCTTCATCATCATCATTATATGATTACTTATTATATCTTTGAATCCGAAACACCGATTGCAACCGATCGACCGGAATCGAATTGCCGCGATCGTCGTCGCTGAAAATGACGAGACAAGATTTTTCGTTTCTTTTCTTTGTGCCTCGTTGTAATCGTAATCGTGTTGTACAGTAAAATCTAGCTTTCCCGTTTCCGGGCAAATTATCGTGGGAGCCGATAGAGCGCCAAGACGAGGAGGGCAGGTGCGCGCAGGTGTGACTCGACTTTTCTTTTCATCGATCATGCGTGAATCGCCATGTACAGAGAGAGAGAGAGAGAGACAATCGACCGAACGGAGCGTCGACAAGTGTACGTACGCGCGCGAACGATTATTGGCCGCGAGCTGCGGCCGCGTCTTACTGCACTCGAGTGCATCGACGAACTCGCGCGTGTGATTTATCGTTACATTGTCCAGTGCTATAGAGTATAGCAGTGCGCGTGGATATATTCCATTAGCGATGGACCGAGGCGTAATTCTCTATACTCGTTTCCCGGGAAATATATATGCATGCGCAGCGTCTATTGTGCTCTACTAAATCAGAGAGGCTGGTTTTATACAGTCTCTAAGAGGGCTATTTCGTTGATCGTAATTGAGACGAATCGCATCGGCGAGTTCGTTGCACTGCTTCGCGTATATCGCACTTCACTGTGGAGATTTTACTTGGAAACAACGAAATACACTGGGAATGGGAAATTTCATCATCGTAATCGATCGATCCAATCGTGTACCATCAATTACAGAAACAAGAACAACAACAACAACAACAGCAACGAGGAAAAAAATAACTACGTACGTTCACCAACAGATCGACACTGACACAAGCGCACATAACGATCGATCGCGAGCCTTGGCTTTGTCGCTCGCTCGCTCGCTGCCGAACGACGACTGCGACGAAGCAGCTTCAACCCAACGCTTTCCACATCCTCGCGTGCTCGTATATTTATATTTATAAAAAAGTTTAAATAGCCCGTGTCACAGAGGGATCCCTTTAATATTTCACCAGGCGCTCGACGATATACGATTGCGTCGCGCTGCACACAGGCAGCTGTACACACTTCCAAGTACATTATAATAAGAGAGCCTCGACGGCACGCGCGCGCGCGCCTTAATCGACGGGGCGCGATTGGGTAGGGGGAAAGAAATTAAAAGTCGATCATTCGTAAGTACGAAAATGAAATACGTAATTGCGTTTGAAGAATGATGAGAGAGAAAGATATATGATAGACGAAAATTTACCTACATATTAGTGGCTTTAAATATCACTTCGAGATGCGCTCCGAAAGCTCCTTATCCCACATAACGTTATAAACGGTTAGAGGCGCGTGGGCGTCTTGGAAGAAGGGGGGAAGGAGTGATCAGGGGCAAGTACTAAGCTACTACTCGATGCGAGCTCGCGCACGCACACAACCACACTACTGCTCGTACCAGCCAAGAAACTTCGGTCAACCCTGCCTTGCGCCGCTGCTCTATATAAGTATAGTATCCCTTCACCCACTCTCGCGCTCGCGCTTGCGGCTAAGCTGCCGCTGCCGCTGCCTCGTTCCCTCCTCCTCCTCCTCTTCTCTATACGTCACACACATATAATTATTGTATCCACAAACACACATACACTTATAATGTATACCGTGTATAAATGTTGACCCCGACACTGTACAGTACATACAACTACATTACGATGGCGCGACTTTATTTTTTTTTAACAGGTAGGTGTAAGCGCGAACGACGTTACGAACGATCGATCATCATAGATTCGTCGTCGTCGAGGCGTTGGCATTGCTGCATTTTCTTTCTTCTTTTTCCAATCGATCGGCTTATATATATTTATTTTTTTCAACGCCACCAAGATTAATCGTTGCCGAACGAGATTAATGGATTCGCATTGTTGCGGATCAGACGCGAGTTGACTTTATCCATGCGCTGCGGAATTTCAGTAGTACACACACGTAGCACAATAAATATATTACGAGTGTGCGAAATTCAGCGGGCCTCGAAATAGCTAGGATCCATTCGGCTATTCCGTCGATACTACAATGTGTCCTTCCGAGCCGCGATCAGCAGTAAGAAGAGACAAAAGGTATACACTCGAGTGAATCGTTTCGCAAAACGCCTCGGCCCGTAAATTGGCATGTATGTGTATTATAATATACGAGCGCGCACTTATACACTCGGATTGCCATTTACGTTTTTCATTTTTCATGCATTAAGCAGCAGCAGCAGCAGCAGTCTGAGATGCTATCGGACAGTCGAGCTCGCGCGCGCATTCATTATGCGTATAATTCACCTTCTTCCTCGCTCGCTCTATCTCTCGTTGCGAGTTTATGTACTCGCGAGCACAACCTTGAGCAGCTCTGTTATAAACCTTCTTCTATACCGAGGGAAGGAAGGAGGAGGGAGGGAGGGGCTAAAAATTCGCGTACGTCTGTAAAATAGTTTTTCAGGGTCGTCTCTGTGCACACATTATACGTACTGTACAGGACTCCGTATATATACAGCGCCGCCGCAGAGGAAGAGAAACAGAGAGAAGACGAGGCTGATCTTAACGAGAAGAGGATTTTATTCGCCTTTTTCCCTGGCCCGAGCACGAGCGGAGCTCGGAGCTCTCTGCACACATCCTGAGTTTTATATAAAGTCGAGCCCGAGGAAATGTGCACCATACGTTTGCGTCTGTGTGTGTGTGTGTGCACTCGCGCGCTCTCGTTATTTTATTTTCTCAATCTTCTTCCCCCTCGGTTTTTATATACCAGTAGTGCGCCGTCGCTGCAGCTGGGACCCTTTTTCTTGATGCTTCATTTTTCGTAGCAGCGACAGCGCTTAAAATGCGTTAATTAACGAGGAACTCGAGTACTGTACTACCACGATCCGCAAATTCTACACGTTATACGCAAGGAGCAAAGCTTCGTACTACCATCGCGTTATACATACTCGAGCTTCTTAAAAAAGTTTTTCTATACGCGCGCCAAAAACGCAAAATCGACCTCGACATATATAATGGGCTTTTCAATGTCAATCATCGTCGTCGACGCTCGATTTCTTTTGTTCCCCCGCGCACCCGTGTGCGCAACGTCTCGCACACACACACACACACACGGGCGCGTTTATTTGCCAGCACGAAAATACAATAATGAAAAAAATAAACGAGGAAAAAAAAAAGAAACGTTTTATAGGTGAAGACGCGAGCGCGTTGAGGACGAGGCACAAATGCGCGCGTCTACATATATGGGTCGTAGGATGTGGCGAATCAAGGCGAGCGAGTGCGCGGCCAAAAGGAAATGGTGCATTAGCACCAATGAGCGATAACGATATATACATATATTCGCCTTATGACAAGTTACAGCGCCTATATATTATGGACGTGACGCGGGTCCGTATATAAACATCGATTATTCATCGGCACTTTTTGTTGTATTTATAGCTGTACATATGCAGTTCGGTAAACGCGGAAAGTAATTTTGCAGAGCGATGGTGTCGCACGTGAGCGAAAAAACGTTAACGAAAATTTGGTTTTTTTTTATCAAGGCGTTTTCAAGCCTCCTTAGTCGCATTTGAGATTTCTTTCGATCCAAATTTAGATAATCATCAGTTGATGCATAACACGTACGAACAATTTTGACGTGAATTCTGAACAGTTGCAACGCATAAAAATTTTGCCAAGTATATAATCGTATTAGGGCTGCGATGACCGAACCATTGAAAGCTGAATCATTGAGATTCAGAATGATTAAATTTTGGATAAGAGTTCGAGGAAATGATACCGACCATTAATGCTGGGCAAAGATACTAGTAAGTCATTTTTCCCAATACAATAATTAATTTGCTGTTTTTAAATTATATTTTATTCTTGTTTAGGACCTGAAGGAGATATAGATAAGAGTCGCGAGGAACAAAAATTCCTCGAGATTTTCCATTGCTTATCTACTTATAGTAATCACATTCGAACGCCAAGTATAATAATCAAGTGATAATCCAGATACAAATGAAAAATTGTGAAGCAGAAAAAATTAAATTGAAAAGTAAACATTCACAATCAA